GAAGCAAGTTTGTCTCTAATATAAATAAACAAAACAATGAGGGAAGAAAAAAAGTTATGGGTTTATAATTAAGGGGGGAGCTAGCCAGTAAGAAGCCTAAGCCATCCACCAAACAGTTTATAATTAATATGAACCTCTGTGTGTTTACTTGTGACTGAAGGGCAGCAGGACGGGGTGTAGCCAGTTACCCCAAACCTCTGCTTTAATCTTAGACATGCTGTTTAGTAAATAAAATACCCGAGTTCAGGAAAAAATAGAGATATACAGTAAACACAGATTGAGAGAAACCAAACCTCTAAATTGTATATAATGTGTTTAAAAATATACATAGGCTTGAGAGAGAAGAGAAAAAAGATAAAGTCCTAAAAAGGAAATAGAGAAGCTAGATATGGTGGCACATACCTTTAAGCCCAGCACACCAGAGCAGAGGCAGTTAGATATCTATGATTTCAATGCCAACTTGGTTTACAGAGTGAATTCCAGTATAGCCAAAAATACACAGAGAAACCCTGTCTCAAAATATAAAAAAGTCTAGTAATAAGAAAGGCCATATAAAGATGGAAAATATACAGAGTCTAGATGCTATATGTTATTGTGCTGTCTTTGAATTGTTTGATTACTGAGGAATGAGCAACAGCTGCTAAAAGACATTTGATTATAAATGCTGCTGGATTAATTCAACATATATATTTTGAAAATGCCTTGATGTCAAATTTTAAGTCTAAGGTCATGTTACTTTGGAAAAGAAGTTCTGGTTTTGTTTCCACAGAAGGTGAAAAGCAGTGGATTCTTTCCAGACTAATATGGTTTGCTCAAGTAAGACCCCCTGTAGCAATGGCCCAAGTGACACAACATTCAAAACAGCTGAGACGATGTAGCCTCAGACTACTATAGCTAGGATTTGACCAGGTTTCTAGATTTTCTCCAGATCCCCTTGGTACTAACAGTGCCCCCAAACAACAGGAAGCAGCTTGGAGACAACTATATCCAAATTCCAAAATATTGTCTATAAATTATTGTTTTAATTTAAACGGGGTTGGTTATAAATGGTTAATGATCACATTCAATTTCCTTCTAAAGAAAAAGCAGGGAATATGATATAGAAATGAATACTTTGTATGGATTTTGCTCTATTGATACAAATTTAAGGCCATTTTTGTTATATGTATATTGCTACTCTTGTTTAGATATTGTGTTTATACAGTTCATTTAAAAAGGTAATATAAAATTAAAATGCAGATTATAAACAGTCACCTATAATAGTCAAAACTTATATTCATTAGTTATTCTAACTATACAGAGATATATTTCAAATTAATAGGTATTCTTCAAGGCATTTCAAAGACCTACAGAATATGGCATTTAAAATTTTTTATTAGGATTTTTCACAACAATGAGATATCATTGTTCCTGGCAACACCAATTTTATCAGGGAGGAGGATGGGCATCGAAAACACTCTTTATGAAGTTTGCTTTTATTATTGTGAGACTAGCCAGTTAGGCAAGAAACTGCTCCTTCTTGTACTGTTTAATGTATACACTAGACATGCAGGACCCACAGGAAAGTGACTGCTGAACTTGCCAAAATAAGATGGGACAGTCCTTCAGGGTTCCTGCTTCATGGAAAGAGTTTTCCAGACATACTGCAGAAAAAAAAAATGACTGACAAACTGCCAATACAGGCTGGAGAGTTTCAAATTCCCTCCTTCTCCAACAAATCTGCCAGACACTCTAAGCCCATAGGCTGAAGATGAATGCCCCAAAGTTACAGAAAAACCTTGGGTGACTGTCCAGGCAGTGAGATGTCTCTGTTAACTCTAGAGTTTATATATTATCCTTCTGAGGTCTCTGATAGAGTTGAAGACAGGTATTTATGATTATAGATTTCCTTAGTTATGATAAAAGATAAATTACATATAAAACTTTAGACTCACAAATATAGGATAGATGATATAGTATTTCCTTTCAATTTTGCTAAATGTTAATAAACTAAATATAGTAACTATAATTTTTGCTTGATAATTGTTTGGTACATATAATTTTACTATGTTAAAATTAAAATGTTCCTTTTTATTTAGACAGAAAAGAGGAGCTGATGGAGGAGGTCTCTCTGTATGCTGTGAATATATTTCTCTTATTGGTTTAATAAATGTTGATTGTCCAGAAGCCAGGCAGGGCTACCAGACTAGGAGAATTCTGGGAAGAGGAAGAGATAGGAGCTGCCAGAGAGACGCCATGTAGCTACCTGAAAGATAGGACTCCAGGTATTCTCCAGTAAGATACGGCTATGTAGAAATACATAAATTAGCCGGGTGATGGTGGAGCATGCCTTTAATCCCAGCACTCAAGAGGCAGGCGGATCTCTGTGAGTTCGAGGCCGGGCTGGACCCACAGCCTCCAAAACAATACAGAGAAACCCTGTCTCATAACCCCCCCCAAAAAGAAATACATAAATTAATAGTTATGGGTTAATAATTAAGAGCAAGCTAGCTAATAAGAAACCTGAGCCATTGGACAGTTTATAATTAATATAAGTCTTTGTGTGTTTATTTGAAACTCAATGACTGCAGGACCAAGTGGGACACAAACTTCATCTACACAGTCCAGCAACTTTCTTAAATCAGTATAATTTCTAAATGTATTCTACATTCTTATTCCCACAAAGAAGTGTAGCTCTCAGACGTCATTAAAGAAGCTGATTTTTGCAGCAGATGAAGACCATTTTAAAAAGCCTCAACTAGTCAAAATACAGGGAGCAACTGTTATACAGTAATATACCTAGAACATATTCCTTACACATACTTCCCTTAAGGAAACATCACAGAAAAAGAGTGTGGGAAGATTTTAAGGGCCAGAGAACCATGATTGTGTCCTCTAGATATGTCTGGCAAGTTACAATCATGAACTCAACAGCATGGCTGCCTAAACTAAACCAGATCAATGACAATACAAGTTGGCATGCCAACATGGAAGGGGGAGATCTCACTGGGCTCCACCCCTACGTGAAGACCTATAGGCAATTAATGTCTGATAAAAGAGAGAGCCAGGGATCAAAGCCTTAAATTCTTTTCTAATACCAAGTACAAGTTGTGTTTATATATTTATTTGCATATATGTGTATGAAAACATGTTATAATAAATAAAAAGAAGCCACAACCTTGAAAAGGATTATGCTGATGAAGAGGGAGGATTATGCAAATATCTTTTAATTAAAAATGTAAGTATTCGAACTTACATATACAACACTATATATGAGTAAGAATCTCAGAATAACTTTTTTATTGGAACATTCTAAAGTATGTAAAAAGGTCTTTTATTTGGTGCCTATAATTCATTGTCTGCTTATTTTAATTACATTCTTTAACAAGTACTGTTTTAATATATGCCCATATCACCCAACAAAAGTTAACTAAGAGTGCTACCTTGAACATTTCTTGCTGTAAGGGTAGTATTATAGAAAAATTGAAATGGGAAATATTAAAATTATTATATCATCAATAATATTATTTAATGAGCCCAAACTATTAAATAAGGAATTGTACATAGTGTTATATAAAAGATGGAAAATCTTCAAAAATATAAAACTTTGTAAGGAATAGATAAAATAAGAATTCATTAAATACATAAACATTGAGCCACAATTAAAACAACTGACAGAAAGGGCACTGAGAAATTAAGAAAATGTTATGGGAACACAGGAAGCATGGAATTTCTTCTTACATTATTACTGTCTTCATTAGTTTATAAATTCAAAGTCTGAAAACTAAGACAATTCACAGAAACAAAGACATAAATAGCAATGAAGAAATAGGAAAGCAGGAACCAAGTTGCTATTTCCTAAAACACAAAACGATATGGGCTTTATGAATTTTCACTTTTCAGAGATTAAGAATCATGAACATTGGTATTAAATGTGAAAAAATAAACAGAATGCTGTATTCACTTGAAATGCTTCTACACTAAAATAATTTGATATAATTGAAATTGTTTATTATATAATGTCATTACTAGATAATTGTACCATTTGGGCTAGATATGAGAAAATAGTAATAAATCAAAGCTATTTTATAAATGATAAATTTAAATAATATTATTTTGTATATTTTATTTTCATCTATGCATTCCATGACTCAATTTACTTAACATAGCAGAATATCCTAAATCATAACTACTAATCACTATGCAGTAAACCTTCCAATATCTCAATGATTCATATTATCTTTAGAAAAGTTTCCACAGATAAAAATACTAAGGACTGAGGGCAATTTTTTCCAGAATATTCTTTGACAGTAATAAAGAAAATTAAAGATAGATGTCTTGGTTCTCTCCTTATTAATAAATGTATTATTCCCTTAATATCTGTTAACATGAACAGCATGTAATGGACTTAAACTTAGACTCATCTCTCAATGGTTAAATATATCACTGTGATAAAATTTAATTAGTAATAAAATTAATTACATGTCACTCTCCTTTCATTGCACTTATTCTCCTACATTGCCCATCATCCTCCTTTCTGCAGAAAAATGTGTATCATAATATGGTGTTATTATTTCAGAATGCTTTGGTTGCTACTAATAATTACAACAATTATATTAACATGTTAGTTAAATTTTAATTAATACAATATAATTCCAATATCTATACAAGACAAGCAGTCATGAAAACAAGGAAATTTTTATGTATGTTACATGTGATCACATGTATTATTTGAAATTGAACCCTGGCACTTGCACATTCTAGGCAAGCTTTCTGACACTAAGCTATATCCTCACCCCAACTATGAAATTATTCTCATAATCTATTTACAGAAAATACAGTGGTGTGTCCTTGAAGTTACAGAGTTCAGGTGTAAACTTTAAATAACGAAGCATCATCACTGAAAATCTGAAAAGTGCAATTTTTATGTACAAAAATCTGAAAAATATGGCTAACAAGTCATGTAAAAAGGTGAAGTGTGGCATAGAGAGACAGAAATCAAATGTTTCAAAATATCTTACCTTCTACCCACATACGAACTTCAGTGGGAGAGGATGTCACAACAGGATCTCCCTGGAAATATCGAAACAAGCGTGCCATCTCTCAGAATGGATAGAGAAAAATTTTAATACCTAAGAATGAAATAGTACAAATTAATTCTGTATTTATTCACACACACTAAATTTTATTATCATATAAGGTGTGGAAGTTTGGAGGAAAATACTTGAACATTAGTTAATAATTAAACTATTATTTACTGAGTAGCTGTTTAGGAAACTAAAAAAATTCAAATAAGTATCCCAAACAATTTGTTTTGTACTGAGAAGGAATTCAAGGGCTCCACTAAGAAAGATTTTAAAAAATCACATAAACCTTAATAACTTTAAAACTACAATACAAAAATTAAGTTTATGCTTATCTGCACAGAAAACAGCTTCATGCAGCAGGTGGCATCTGAGTCAAACCAAAGAAAGCTAGACAAAAATGAGACATGGGGGAGATGACAGAATTGGCCCCAGCTACAAAAATTAGATATAAAATGCTTTCTGGAATCAAAATATCCAATCTGAAAATGTGTATCATTATTAGTCTAGGTAATTTTGAATTCCCCTGCCTCTCTCCCCATTTTTTACAGCTTTCAGGGTACATGCTCAATTTTTAATCCCAAACCAGGCTTGGTGGCACAATCCTATAATCTCAGTTCTTGGGAGACAGAGGCAGAAGGATCAGTAATCCAAGCTCATTCTTTTGCCTAAGTAGAGAAATCGAAACCTGGGCTATGTGAGACCATGCTTATGTAGACAAAAAATAATATTTTAAAACCAAAGAAAATACAAAAATGGCATATTAATACAATTAAGAGATAAAAGTGTGATATTCTGATAGTAAAGACACTCTCCAAACCTGTTTTTACTTTAACTTTCCATATTTTAACTAAGTTGCATTACTATATAGAAGTACTTCACAAAATGTAAACAATATTCATATTTAAAATGTGTTCTAAAATAAAGCATCTCTATGACAAATATTAAATGTAGGTCTTACATTGTCATCCTAAATAAAAATATTAAATTAGATTAATTGCACAACTATTTTCTCCCTCCTCACTTAGCCAATTTACTCAGACTGTTATTTACATAATTATTTCTTTGATTACTACAAAGTATTTTGCTTACCTGCACCTTACTCTTCAATAAAACTGAGTTTGAATTAGACTCTCACTTTGAAGAAATGGCATGGATTAACAGGACTTCTAGAACAATGTTGTCCAATAAAAGAACGTTCCACAATATCAAAATCTTCTATATTAACACCATTTAATATGGCAGTTATTATTCATATATGATAATTAAACAAGTAAAATTACAGGTAATAAGACTTGCAGGTACAATTTTTGTTAAGTTAGTTCATTGACCATTTCATACATATTTATATTGCAATCTGCTTTTTCACTAACATTTCTTAACTTTCTCCCTCGTCCATTAGTCTTATTAGCCCCTTAACCTCCCCACCTGTCTCTTTCCCAGATACCTGACTTTGTTTTGTTTTGTGACCCATTTACTTTAAACAGAGCCATCTATCCATTGGGCCTGTTCACTGGACTATAGTGGGAGTCACTGGAATTAACTCTCATTGTACTTGATTTAAATTAATGATTACTCCATTGTCAATACAATGTTAGAATTTTCACTCAAGTATTAGGGTCACATACCAAGTAAACCATCTCAGGCTACTAAAGCTACTAATGAAATGGATCTGGAAAAAATCTTGATGCTTACTGTGAGACCTCGAGCTGTCTTGACATCCAGATGAAAGGAGTCCACTAGCACGAAGTGTGAGGATAGAGAGACTATACAGAACAGAGAGGGTGGGAGATAAAATAAAGATTTAGGTTAGCACGAATAGTGAACTACCGAAGATTTCCTCAGTTATTATGAAAATAAAATTATTAGTATAGCACTTATGAAGCTCTGGCATTCTTCAGGAAGTTTGCTCCAATAAAAATGAAAATATGTCATGTCATTCAAGTAATTTGAACATTCAATAAATAAGTGGTGTGTGTTCACTATATGCCAAGCGTGGGGAATTTCACTAGTTTAAAACACGTAGTTCTGCTGTGATTTTGTAGCATCATCTAAAGTCCTCTAATTTCAAAAGAAATGGATCTTCAGTATGCAATGGGGATCCATTCTTTTTCTCTTATATACCCAAATGATTTGATTTTTGCCTTTCTGGCACCCACCACATTTTCTTTTAACTGTTGATAAGAGGACTGTGGCCTGTTTTCCCAGACTGCTGCAAATCCATATGTCTGTTTATACAAACCATCCACCCAGGGTTCTTATCTCAGCTCTTAAGAATGAAAATAAAGGAAAGGAAACAAACACTGGCAAAATAAAATACAAAACTAAACTATTTGTGGTCTAAAATAGTGGAAATTTTTCTTTTAAGACCTCAGAGTCTATTTCTATCAATGTTGTCTAGCTTTGAAAAGAGCTAATTAACCTTGCTTTATGCTGAAGGGCTTGGGTCTACAGCCTGTGTAGGGTGCTGAGCTGTAAACTGGAGGGCCCCTAATTATTAGCATTTTAATTAAGCTGTATGTATTTTAAATACACAATAGATGTCCTATTACCACATCGAAGACATTAAGGCGTTCAGATTTAAAGCAAACCAAATTCTACAAGAGCAGCTGAACTAGCCACGATTATTTCTGTAAGAGAATTAGATAAATAAAGCTGACAAGGATCATAAAAGGTGAATCATGGGCTCAGGGGATTTAAACATTTAAATGGCAGTTGGGCTGCTATCTAATCAAAGCCATGCCCCGTCACGGGAGTGGGGGGGGGGGAATGGACGGGGAAGCCAACATTCTAAGGTTGGAATGGCCCGCACAATATCCCAAGGCTTGCCAAAAGCTAAATTTCGTGGGAAATTTTCCTCCCGCTGAGCTCAAGTTCCCCTTCCCAGAACTCACACCCCCTATCGCCTCTATCCCTCCCCGGTGTGCGCAGAACTGACCAGGGAGAGAAATCTCAGGGTCTCCACCTCAGAGACGACCACCTAAACTCCGGGGGCACGGGGGGGGGCAAACTGTCAGCCGGGCAGCGGGGCAGCCGGGCGCCGCTGCGCTCCCCGTTCCCGCCCTCGCCTTCCCCCTCAGACTCTTTCCCGGGCTCAGTCCTCACCCGAAGTTCGGCCACCTCGGCTCCCTCAGGTCCGCTTCACACAGGCTGAAGCGGGAAGCCGAGCGACGTCGAGAGGAGACAGTGGCGCGGAGCAGAGCGGAGGCCACCCCGGGGTTCCCCCCTCCAGCGGCCAGCGGCCGTTCGCTCCCTCCCTCCACCCACGAGGCGCCTCACTCCGAGGCTCCCGCGCCTCTCCCCTCCCGGAACACGCGCGCTCCGGCCAGCCCGCGAGGTGGCTTCTCCCCAGGTCGCCAAACGCCCCCCCGCCGGCCACCCCAGCCCCTCGGGGAAGGCCGGCGGGCTGCTCGCTTACTTGCCTCTTCCCCCTAGCCCGGTGCTGTCGCCGAGGGGCCCGGAATCCCCCCGTCAGAGGCTGAGCCCGGCCATGGAGTCTCCGCCGCCTCGCGCCCCCGGCAGAGCTCGCTCGCAGGCAACCGCCGGCGCGTGCTGAGGAACCTCCGCTTGCCGTCGACGTGACGTAGCGCCTGCTCCGCGGAGGGGCGCGGGGGCGTGCGCGGCGCCTCCGGCCCCGAGCCCTGACCCTTGCCCTCTGTGGGGCGCCGTAAAGCCTGCCCCCGAAAAGTTTGCTTTCCCTTCCCGAAACTGTCGGAAAAGCCGAGAGAGCGCGCTTCTGGGGGGACTCTCTCACGCCACTCAGCACACGCCCACGGCACTCGCTGAAGGAGCGTGATTTCAGCGGAGGAAGAAAACTCAGTGGAGAGCAACAGGTGGTCCCAGGCTCCCGAATAAAAGCACCCTGCCTGGTGCCCCAAGCCAGAGGGAAGATGTGCCCCTTCCTAATGTCTGTGGGACCCTGACTTTCCTTCCTGTCCTAATCTTCCCAGACCACAAAATTGAGGTCCTGACTTCGGGGTGAGGGCGGAGGAGTCGAGAAAGGCTAGAACTAGGGTCTTTTGTAGTTACCCAATGTTGCGCGGATGCTTCGGTTTGGTTCAAGTAGTTCCCCCGTATTAATGTGCCGTGGACGGAGATGCTGTGTGCTTAAAGTAGACCCACGGAAGTACCCTGTTTTCACACTGCAAAATAGATTATTCTGTTTCATTGGAGCACAGGTGGCCATAAAAAGTACATCCCTTGACCCCCTTGACGATGCGAATCTGAATCTGTAGCCTCCATTTCAGACAAAGCTGAAATTATACTCTTAGGCTCACGCAGCCCTCGATGTCGTATCTGAAAATCCCTTTTCCCTACGCCAACCATTATTGTAGCTGTGGGCGACAGTGTACCACGATGGGTAAATGCACATATTTTAAAATCCTTTAATAAAGAAAACATCTAAAAGTGACAATAAAGTAAATTAATACCCACATTCACTGAAAAACATTTCTCCAAGGATTTCATCACCCCCACCCCACCCCAAAGGCTGTCTGGTCCACCAAAAAGAATTAATTTTGAATATAGCTGAAATTAATCTGGAAAATAATTATATTTATTCCTTTCATTTTATAGATGGGGAAAGTGAGGTCCTCATAGGAAAAAAAAATACTTGCTTCAAGTTACATGTTGGAAAGACAGCCTAAACATCTATACATCATTGTAGTACTTCCACAAATACCTCACACATACCACATTTAAACAGCATCTCAAAAGAGTAGAGAATTTTTTGAAGTCAAGTATAGGTTTGTCTCCCAGGATCTAGGCACGAAGAAGGGACTCGAGGGGGGTGGGGGGACCCAAACACTAACGATGAGATAAGGAAAGGAGATGATGAGTGGGGGAAACTAGATGCAACACAGAAAATAAAAGCATTTTACAGGCATGAATATACATGAATCACTTCAGATCAAATGAAATTATTAGAGCCAGTTAGCAAGCAGAGGAAAATATGCTGGCTCATGTCCATTTTTACAAGGTAGATGTTTACCACCTTTATCAGATGTCTCAGATGTCTCCTGCTTGCTCATTCTACGTATACCCACTGTACATACATAAGCTGTTGTTGTTGCTATTATTACGATTACCATGACTTTGTGATACCTACAGCAAAATTGTCTTAGGTTTCGGTATCTGGGTGCATCATTCAAAAGCCTATGTATAAACAAGCTAGATTAGGGTTGGCACATTCAAATTGTTAAAACCTTACTTTCTGTTATTTAATTGAAGGGGCATTTTTATTTAGAGTTTTTGTTTAAAGTTAAGGCATAACACTTCATTTGTTGTTATTGCCAAGGTTTCAGGATCCTGCAAGTTAATCTGACAAACTAATCTGTGCTAATTTGTTAATAATTATTGCCAACCTCCCTCTTAAAATATGTGTAATTTAACAGTAGCTTTGTGAAATGTCAATCACCAAGACCTGGCAAGGTTTAATTACACTTCCTGCCTCTTTGTGTTTAGCCCTTCAGATGTTGTATGTACACACACACACACACACACACACACACACACACACACACACAACGATATGTCCATTTATGTAAAAAAAAGCAAGCCAACTAAGACTGAAACATTGCAAGTATATAATATAACCTAAAATCCTCTAATTTCATTTAAAGGGATTTGATTGCGCAGTGTGGGGATAACAGTATTACTGCTTATGAATATTGCATCACAGATTTCAAAAGAGTTTCACATGTACCTTATTTCCTGCAACAAATGATACACTACTAGCAGAAAACAAAAAAAAATGTATTCTTGGAAGTACATAGCCAACATTATATTTGTTACCTTGACAGTAATTATAAACCAAAGCTTAATAAAAAATCAATAGCTCATTGACATAAAATTCAAAAGTACATAGTATTGGTGATCCTATTACTGCCAGGGTAATATTTGCACAGAATCTCTGACACAATTTCCATATTAACAAACAAACCATTTATTAGTATAAATATTTACACCTCAAGCTATTCTGAATATATTGTATTCATATAGGAATGCTTGCATGGACACATTCTCTCTGTCTCTCTGTCTCTCTCTCTCTGTCTCTCTCTGTCTCTCTCTCTCTCTCTCTCTCACACACACACACACACACACACACACACACGAGTTTCCCTTGTCTTTTCTATCACATAGCAGCACAAGATAAAAATGCTATGGCACATTCCTCCATTTTATATTATGATATAAATGAAATCATGAATTCAATTTAACTATATAATCACAATTAATTCATATTTCCTCTTCCCTTCTTTGTAAGGTTCAAGTACCTCAGACAAGACAGACATCTGATTTGCATAAACAGAAACAATTTCATAAAAATTCAGTTAACCTAACATTCATCATAGTGAATATAGTTAATAATGTATGCTTACTTCAAATTTATTAACAATAAAGCATCAGAAGCAGATCTTAAGTATCCTCATCATAAGAGAGAAAAGACAACTATGTCAGATGTTAATTATCATCATCATAATAATCATGTCACAATGTACATGTAAGCCAAAACACCACATGCTGCACACCTTAGGTGAATCTATTATTTTTATGTGTCAGTAGTTATTTCACAATAAAGCTATACAGATATCAATTTCCCAAGCAGCCCGGAAATTTAGTCTTCCCAGGAAAAATACAATTTTGCACAGTAGAAATTCAGAAACATGCTTCTGAAGATATACATAATGCAGTTTTTAGTTAATTCTTTAATTCCTAAAATATATATATATATTCTTTATCTATACATTATCAGCTACTAAAAGCAAT